CCCTCTTCCTTTCCCCCCCTTTTATTTTTCCCTTTTATTCCGTTTCCTTCCCGCCCTCTCCCCCCCCCCGCCTTTTCTTTTCTTTTCTTTTTTTTTGTACAGAAAAATGTTTTGATGTTCTTGTAATAATAATAATAAATAATAATAATAATAACGAGAGAGAAAAAAGGTAACGGTTGCTTTACTTACCTTTTTTTTTAGAAGGACTAGTTTATGAAACTAGTTTTAGACTGAACTTCTGTGTTTTATTGATACTTTTTGTACAGTATTTATCATTCACCCAAGAGGCATAGAGCGTTTATTTGCAAAAGAGGAGAGAGAGAGAGAAAAAAAGAAAGAGAGAAAGAAAGAAAAAACACCGACGAAAAGACAAAAAAAAATCAATAATCACACAAAGTTCTAGGCGATGCCAACTTTTATACCGCGCAGAACCGCTACGGTTTCATTCACGGATCGCTTCTTACGAAGGCTTTTTGTTGCCTAATTAGATCGAAGTCGATGGGGAAGCAGTTCTCATTTATTACTCATGTACTAAGGCAAATCCAAAACCACACGTAAAAGTTTTTGTAGGTGTTCTCGCGTTTTTTGTTTTTTTAATTTGTTTATTTATAAAACTTTTTTTTGAGGCTGCAATGTTTTTTCTAGATTTTGTAAGACTTTATTGTATCTGGATATTTTTGTTTGTTTATTTTCTCTTTGATTTTGTTTCCTTTTTGTATGATTTCTTGTAAATGCATTGTGAAATAATTTTTATTTTAGAAGTTATGAGGGAATTCAGATTGTGTATATAGTTTACTAAAAAGCCTTTCTGCTAAACAGAAATCCTAAGGATGCGTTCAATTTTGAGTTAAATAAATTTCTAAGCGGAAAAAATAACCTGTTTTTTTTAATAAACCCGTAAACATAGAAATATTTACCATGGTTTGCCTGCAAATACAGCGGGTAAACATAGAAATTGGAGAGGACGTAATAAACCGGAGCGAAAAAAAGAATGAAATACAATCCTACAATAAATATAGATGTCTCATGATCTATGTAATTCAGGAAGGTTGATACGTAGATTTCTAGGATTATGTTAATGCTCGTTCAGTGTTGCTAAAGAAGACGACTTACTGATTTACTTCTCCTAGTCCAGACGTTCGTTCTGTTCATGTTATCGATGAAACTGAATCTGAACCTTGACTGGGGCCATAACTGGGAAACTTTTCTATCTGGGACGGGGTTAGGCGCTCTTCTAAGGTCTGGAAGAGCTGCCTCTCCCTTTCTGCGCCCCTTTTGGGACAGATTTCCGATGGGGGATCCCTGCAGGGCCGGAGCAGAGTGTGCTCCCCGAGGGATACGAAGGCACCAGCGAATGCGCAACTTCCTCCCTAATTAACACAATTAAAAACGAAAGTGGTTGAGTCTGAGTGTCAGGAAAAACAATCTCTAAACCAAAAGTACTAAAAGTAGTCCCATCCCTCCCAAACGTCCCACGGTGCAGGACTTCGCACACACAAACACACGCACGCACCCACCCCGTGTAAACTGGCATGAAAGTTTTAATGACTGATGTGAAAGCTGTCGAGCAAAATATTTGTTCATTACAGGATATTGCTCAATGCTTTGATTTTTTTCCTAGCTGTTTTTCGGTACCTTTCGCTATTCTGGAATTAAAAGTTTTCTGTAAACTTCTTCTAATAGTAATAACAGCATTAAGCGTTGCATTTAAAAATCATACTGTAGCAAATAAATTCTGAAATTAATCGTAACACGTTTAAACAAAAAGAAAAAACATTTTTAACGTCCAGGGTGGAAACGTTGATCGCACCAGGCTGCAGGGCTTTTCAAAACATCTTTTAGTGATGGCGAAAGAGTACTTCATCCATCCAAAAGTGGGAAAATGTTCACTGGTTAATAAGGAGCGGTTTCTGTCCATATTAGAGATTGCACTTTTGACTATAATGCTAAGATGACAATTGACATATGTAACGTCGGAATCGTTTTGATAATTTTGTTGAAATCACTCATTCGTTAAAGTGATTGCAAAATTTTCTTGAAAGATGTATTTTGATTTAGAACCAGGTAATTTTTTTTTTAATATTTAAACTTTTATTAAACCATTGGGTATGTAGGTTCAGGCAGTCAGCAGGCTAGTTTTAGAAGAGCTTAGCGTAAAAATGGCGCATACACAAAGCAGGATCCTGTGGGAAATCCTCAGTAGTGTTGATTCACTCCAGCCAAGCATGATTCAATATGTAATTTAAAATATTAATAGGGGTACCTTTTAATACGCAGAATTATCTGAGTACCTGTTGAGTTGTTTCTTGAAATGCGATCTCCATCATGTGCATGCGTACTTATATCTGTCCATGCACATCATAGATAGCATCATGACCAAATAGAAGTGCACACATGTGTGTGTATGTTCATATGCACATGCAGATGCATATACATCCGATGCACCCTTGGTACGTGCCTTTTCTTTAAGGGTCATAGCAGTTGAAATTCACATTTACTGGCAAGAGGAAAAAGAAAAATAACAGTGAGACGAGACAATATTGCTGAACACGAATGATATAATAAGCGGATTGGGGAGATCAAGGGGAAAAAAGGAAATAAACAGCTGTACACGGCCAAACAAAAAAAAAATTATGGAAGGCATTGAAAAGAAAAATATTATAGACCTCTAAAATAGCTCCTTTTAACGAGTTCTCCCCCTCCCCTCGCAATTTAGCGGCTCAGTGGCGTTAGCCCTAGAATAATAGGCATACCTGCACTTTCAACTAAGGGGGATTAAACAGACCCAAACTCAGCTATATTCAAATAAGCTTCGAATATTTTCAGTCTATCCTTCAAATGAACACAATCCCCTCTGCAAATGTCAAAAACAAACAAACAAACAAACTGTAGAATTTATTCCTGCTCATGGTTTATTGGTTTGAACCTGTAGTTTAATTTTATTTAAACTTGTATTTGCGTATATAAACAAAGTTAAAACAACTTTGCTAGGCAGACGAGTTCAGATATGGTAAAATAATTCAATCTTCGGGCTCTTTGCTTTGCAGGTTATATATAAGAGAATAATTGAATATGCAAAACTAAGAATAGGTTTAAATGATTTATGGTTTAAGTACTTTACATCTAAAATTGTATGAAATGTTCCTCCTATAACGTGATTGACAGAGCTATTAAAATCACTTATGTGGAAGAATTAAAAAAAAAAAAGTCATCTCGTTTTCAGTAAAACGAAGGAAAATCCAAGGACTAAGGAGAAGGGGAGAGGGGAGGAGATGTTCTCCCTGCTAAGTTACGCTTTGTGTAGCGTGGGGGGCTCGGGGTCAGGGCTCCCCGTGGACTGGACTGCGCCCCGCCTCTCCGGGACACCGCTTTACCGACGAGTCCCTTTTCCCTGGGGAGGGGTCGGGAACAGAGGAACCAGTGGGACAGGAGGAGCAAAACTGCTATCAATCTGATAGCAGTTTTGATCGACTCTAAACTTCAACCCAAGACGTAAACTTGACCTGAACTCCACATCTCTTTTCCCAACGATTCTCTCTCCCCCACCCTCTTTTTTTCCTTCTCCTTCTCCCCCTCCCTCTTTTTTTTTTTTGGCGGGGCCCGGCTGCTGGTCTCTAGGGAATAACGAGGCGGGGGGAGGGGGAAGACCGGGAGACAGGAAATTCCCCTTGAAGGTAAAAAGAGGGACGGCTCCTGAAATCTGCCCTGGGGGCGTGAGGACGCAGCTCCAAAATCCCGGGAGCGCCACACCAGGGCAAGAAGCCCCCCGAGATGTCCCTTGGCCGCGCCTCGGGGGCGACCATCCCTCCCAGCTGTGCCACATGCAGGCAGCATCAGCCCGGAGGCACCTGAATGCCTGACGCAGTTATAGCGTATTATAACCATGCGTAATCTGCCCCCTACCCCGAGGGAAAACAAAAGAAAAAAGACAACACCCTACATCGCCCCAAACCAAACAAACAGCTAATCCGAGCGGCACTGCACAGTAAAGTGGAGAAAAATCCCCCGAGCTAGCAGCTGCTTTTGGGTCTGACGCTCAGCCCGTGTCAGCTCGAGGTGACCCTGGGCCCTGTAACGCCCCCGGCCTTTCCCAGGGATTTGCCTGCCCCTGGGGCCTTTTTCTGGCCCGTCCCTCCAGCCCACTTTTCTCCCGCTCCCCCTCTAGCAGACACCCACTGTCCTCCCTCGCCCGGCAACACGTCGGGGAGCGCCGGGAAGGGGCAGCCTCGTG